CGATTCTCGATATATGTGAGTTTGTTCAGCAATGAGAATGAATTTGTTATGAATATTAAAACAGAACGAATTCACCAATCGATAATAATATTTCACAATTGTTCTGAGGTTTTACTAGACCGAATGAATGTTGATAAGTAATTTTCTGTGTGTATTATAAAACCTTTGAGTCAACCGAGCACAAAACTTCTGTTTTGAAACCCGAGAATGAGATGGACTTGGACATACGTGTTGAGCATGGGTATTCACCTCGCGAGCAAACGAAAACAAAACATTATTCATATTCGATTGATCGAGGTAATGAGATTCGAAGATTGTTCTCGCTTCGACATGATTAAACAGTCTATTGTCTGACAATGTTTTCTGGCATTGTTGACACAATTGTGCGCAGCGCAAAAAACACACATTTTTTTTTCATTTTTCTCTCTGTGTGTGCATACCGTAGAAAGTAAAACAACAAGAAACGAATGAACGAAAACCAAATTAAACGTATCTACTAAAATTGAATCATTCACCATCGATTTAAAATCCATTTAGTATAGACGTATTCATGAATGACGTGGCCTACAGCACCTTTATCGAAGGATCTGACACAGCAATAATTGCACTCGTACCGCATGAGTCAGTTCGGTCAGTCTATGATCGGTGGTGGTGATTGTTGAATAAATTATTAGTTCAGGAACACAACACAAAACGGAACCTAATGGTCATTTCACTTTTGAAACAGGTAATGCCATTAGGTGAATCTGATATCAAACTGTATATTGATTGCATGTGCTCACACCACTTTCCATACGCTTTGTTTAATATTAGTTTATTCTCAGCTCATCGGCATACACACATATTCACACAGGGCTTGTGAATAAACTATGGAATGATAATCGACAAAATTTCACCGCTCGGATGTCCCAATGTTCGGCGTCATTATTTTATTACATTATTCTAATATTAACATCATACAGAAATTATTATTGTCGCTCCAAGTTTAAATGACGCTTCGACAAAATTTCGTTCAAATTGTAGCAATGTGTCCAATACACACTGCACTTCTGCTGATAGCATCTATCGAATCACTTTTCTTTACTTTGATAAACTCATGAAAGAAAAACAAAATTATACTGAAATCTCCGCTATTTTCGATGTGTCATTTACATGTATGGTGAGTAGTATGCTACTGCTTATTCTTGGGACGATTATGAAATCACTTCGTACTTCCTTCATAAATATAATGTTAGTTGAACTTGTTTTTGACATTCGTTTTCAGATTATACGACCAAAAATGTTGATAGGGCCAATGTAACGAATGTACGCTTATCAACGAGTGAAATAGATTATGCTGAGGCTGAATATTTCTTTCAAATTTGTTCGGTTCAGTAAGTTCAAAAGGAATTATATTTTGGGCTTTGAATCGTAAATTCAATTTTAGTAATGAACAAATAACGATTTTCGACGGGACTTTGAAGCATCTAATCGTAGCGTTAAATTCGATTTTTTACTCCAGTACTGCTCTGCACCTCGTATTTCTAACATGTGGCTGTTATTGTTCTATTTCAATGCAATGGAGGCGGATTCTATTGCCCATTCTCACTATAGATGCATCGATAATATTGACATTTTTTTCATAAATAACTTCAAATTGGCCAAGTTTACACAACAATTTTTTTTAATCATAAAATATGGCACAATTCCACAGTTTTCATAGCGATCGATTTATCAACACAACAAATCTCCCAAAGCTATTCATGCAATTCGTCATGCGTGATCTAGGTGCATGCAATTAAAATAATTCACTGGAGAGTACATTCATTGTGATAATGGTCAAAATCAAAACATAAATATATCTATTTTAGCTTTGGAGTTGTGCACAGACCCTGACACAATTTTCAAAGCGCAATGTGGAGGTAACATTTGGCTAATGTTAAAAACTCATTACGTAAAATGATTGGACACAAAACACGATTCACGACAACATGAATTTCGTCATTGACTTATTATTCTTCCTGGATTGATCGTTTTTTTTTGCTGGCTATTAGTAAAATATGGTGGAAAACTAAGACTTCTAGCGTCGCTCGATAAAATGCTTTAAAAACCGATATTTTCTATCAAACGATAAAAATGATAATAACTGAATTTTATTATCATACACAGAGATAAGAGGGTAGATTATAATTCTGATAATTATCAAAATGAACCACGTTTATAAATAAGTACAGACGGCTTACAGGCGGTTTGTTTCCGATATTTCAATAACAAACGGTACACCACGTGCGCAATGTGAACTCTTTCAATTTATGTGATATTAACAAAGAAAATCGGAATTTCGGTATGGCATTCTTTGAAGTGCAAAAGAGCGAAGAATGTTAATTTAATTTCGACATTCATTCAATATTCATAAACGGACAAACGTTTGATGTGAAGGTTTGAACTCTAGTAAAGCCAACACCAGAGTCACAAAACGAACGAGTCAGAACGGAGTAGAAAAAAATAATGATGACGTGTCAATGCGCGATTGCTTCGACACACAATCAAATACACTATACAATCTCATTCAGTGTTGTGTCATCCATGAAATCTTGATGAGTTTGTACATTCCCGACCAAGCGAAACGAAAACACAGAAATCAGTCAAAAAAAAAAATGTTGCGCCATTGTTCAGCGAAATTACCAAAGAAATGGTTCTGACAGAGAAACAACAAAAAAAACTAAAATTATTGCTGATTCTGATATGGTGTTATAAATGAGTTCAGCTGCATATTGGACAGTTGTCGTGTCAAATAAGCGGAAAAAAATTAGATAAACTGATATTTATCACTTGTTTATTATGTGCATTGTGCACAGTATATATACGGTGTATGTTTGGCAGATCGAGCTAATGAGCTTTCGTTTTCAGCTCAATAATATTGTTTTTCCATTTGGTGGAGGGGGAAACAGCAAATAAAAGAACAATGAGCTTAAAATTGTATTAAACTGTAAGCCCAGTTGTGTATTATCTCGCCATACTCTCGGGAAATCCATGCCAGTTAATACGCAATTTTTGATTGGTGTAGCGTTTTATCAGCTGTATCACTTTCGATTACAATCACTGCGTGCCTGTCATTTCATATTTATTTAATCTGTCCCATTAGTCATTGCTCGCGCCAGAAATCATGGAGCAAAAATTCAGTTTGAGTTTTTAATCGAATGTTGACGCGAGCAATACCACCGTGACATCTCTCTATATTACTTGATAGCCTTTATAATTATTTTCACATGAAAAAATTAGTTCGACGCATTGAACTTCAAGGCATATAATTTCTGCATGAAGGGAAAGCTAACACCGATTAGGAAGCTAGAAATTCATTAAATATTGATTTCATTTCATTCGTAAGGGTATCACACCAAATGTCCTTTCCCAGGTAACTATAGTGTGTTTTCATTTCGTTTTTTTTTCGGTTATAAACAATGATGGACACAGAAATTGAGAGAGAGAGAGAGAGAGAGAGAGAGAAAGTACACACAACGTCGACCAATCAAATTACTTATTAACGCTTATGGGTTTTGAATTTCGTAGCACGGTACATGTGGCTGATGGTAAACGATAATTTCTTTGTAAACCTGGGAGAAGCAATACACATCATTTTCAGCCCCCTTCCAAACCAATTTGAAGTCTTTGAATAATCTGGAATTGATTATTAACATTGTTAATGAAGCATGCTAAAAATTTCAATTTATTCCCGAGCAATTCCAATTGCGATAGGTATCTGTTCACAGGAGAAATTGTCTATTAATTACAAAAAGAGCAATAAACATTAAATTTGAATAAATTAATTAACTATAAAAATAAAATAACTTTATGAATTGTACTGGCGTAATTGTTTCGACGAATGTGACAAACATTGTATGATCAAACGGACAGATATCGGCTGGATTGGATGCTGCTGCTGATAACCATTGTGAAATGTGCCGATGAACTAAATTCATTTCGATGAACGATTGTAGAAAAATACTTATTTATTTCAAAGTTAATTCATATCAGCAATTTCTTATCACAGTAGCAAACTAAGGGCAGAATGCTTATCTAATTTCTTTTCTAATTTTTCATTAATAAAGTGAAATTCGTTGATAAAGTGAAATTGAAATGAAGCTAAAATTGAAACAAATTTAAAATTAAAAACATGTTATAAAACGAATCGTTCATTTGATAGCAGCTTTTTATTCAAAGTTTAACCGTTCAAAATGGCCAGGGATCAACGTTTTCACTCTTTTCGATTGAACGCTCGAAAGAGTCTCTCAAAAGAGACTCGTTCGAATGAATCTTTCAAATTAACTGTACTCTAGTGAAAAATATAGCAATATTTTGTATTCAAAATGTTGCTGTTACTTTGTCCTGATGAGTAAAATAAATAAATAAATTGAATTTAATATTTATTTTTAACAAAAACTCGTTTTTCTCTGAATAATAAAGACCAAACTCACTAGAACACAGTTAATTTTATGGAAGATTCATTCAAAGGAGTCTCTTTTGAGAGTGTCTTTCGAGAGACTCCTTTGAGAAGAGTGCAAATGTTGTTCCCCGAAAACGGCTAATCACACGAAATATTCGGTCTGAATCGGGCCGACACACAGAAAAACTCACACCATCAATAATTCCTAATACATCGATAAATTGTTTCAAACTTTTCACGAAACATGATTGATCGAATCGAGATTATGTTGAAGAACAAAGCATTTTTGATGAGGTCCAATATAAATCACCACACACAAATTACTACCGTTATCAATGGTTGTTGAAATTTAGGTTGTCAATAAGATTAGTTCACTGAAAAAGACGTCAACAGATTTATCACTAGGATCAGATTTTTTATTTGCATGAAAAAATTGTAACACACTTGTTTGTCGAAAAAAAGCGTGTCAATTCAAGTGAAAGAAAACGAAAGAAAAAAACATTTCTACACATTTCATTCTCTAATGCGTATTTTGCGTGTTTTCTCTTCTTCTTCATCTTCTTCCTCTCTCAAATAGAAAATAACCAATAATGCAGCATGGATCAACAGAATTACTGGAAACACAACATCGGATCGCTGAACTACCAACCGATGTTTGGCAATTCAGGATCCGAATATCAAGCGTCAGGCTATACGGAGCATCCGTCTTTACATCACCCGACCGGTTTCAATTTTAATGGCAGCCGCACATCGACTGGCACAAACAATGCTTGTAGTGATCCATCCAATACATCGTCGGCCGCCAATTTGTCGCGAACCGCTACCAACAATAATAATCTGTCTGCAAATTCGTCAACAACAAATGAGTACAATGCAGTGCCTTACAGTAGACTTTATCCATTCCTATCGGACAATTCAGTACAAAATATATCATCAGCTTCGACAAATACATCCGATTGCAATAACATCACATACGGTAGTGCGTTTAATAGTAGAACATATGAAAATACGACAAATTCGGCGCATGTTCCCGTTATAGCAGTGACAAGTAACAACAGCTCACACAGCCGAGTCTATCACTCGAACATTGGCTATGGATCGTATCAAAACGCTGATTACAGTCTGCACAAGACGTTGAGTCAAAATTATTCGACCGACAATGGTTCGATAGGGCCATCGTCATCGTCGTCGTCAACATCGAATCGAACCTCACTGAGTGCATCGACAGCGTTTACGCCGATGGAGCATATCGTGCAACCATCTGCGAAGAATCGTGGCCACAGCAACGCAGAAGGGAAAACATCGGCAAAAACGAGCGTAATCAAACCGCTGAATGCGTATAATGCGACCGCTTCGGTATCAGGTGCGTCGGGAACGATGCCGATCAATTATACCACGAAATATCCCGTTCCATCGTATCCCGGTTATGCGAACAACAATAAGACTGCATCCAATTTGGAAAAATCTCCCGCAACTGTAAATCGCTTGTATGCGACGAATAAAAATGCAGATGTGTATTGCCCGGAACCGATTTCGGCTGCTCGATATACAAACCATGGCTATGGACTAAACACTCCGGGCACTGGTCACACAAATTCACATTATTTAGCCGCTACAAACAGTTATCCGCTGAACTATGGTCATCACTATTTGACGCAACACCAAAACAGTGTTTCACATCAGTCAAAGAATTTGCTCACCGCACCCACATACCACCACTCGGCATCACTCGACGAAAGTGTATCGGCTAATTACTATAACCGACAGAATGGCCTTGTTGTGAGACCAACACCAAATCCGTACAAACAAACTCAACTACAATATCCGAATGCATACAACTATGGACGGAGTAGTAATATTATCAATTCTTCTGGTGCTAATCATTCTAGCAGTAACAGTCATTCAACGCTGCCAAAACCTCAATCGCAAAAGCCGGCCAACGATTCGTATAATTCGCTGGCTCTTGATTTCGATAGCGCATACGATAGAAGCAATTTTCGACAATACAGTTCGATGTATGGTTCGAGTTACATTGATCCAACTGGTTTTGATGATTATTCGCAATACTCTGGTTTTGCATCGGCCAATTCGGTGTCCGTACCACTTTATTCGCCCAAAGCATCGGGAAAACATCTTCTGTACAATTACAATGCTGCCGGCCTGAATGTGTACAACAACAATGCAGCCCATGGATCATCAACACAGCAAACGTCACAATCAGTCAACGCCACATCATCGTCGTCATCACTACCCACCACATCTACGACAACAATCGTTCAGCAGCCCGTGCCGATAAATCCAAGTTCCTCTCAATTGATCTCAAGCAACTACGATGCAACGTCACTGCATCCACATCCGATACTGCCACCGTCTCTGTTCAATAACAACAGCAAAGAGTATTGCCCATCGAATCAATATCAGCAAAGTCCATACGCTCCGCAAATTCTGTATTCAACACTACAAAACGGTGGCTACTATTCATCGGTGAAATCAAATCAGTCTGCACTCTTTCCAGCACATTTGAGCGATGTGCACGGTGTTGGACATGAGAAAGTGAGCGCGGACAAAGCATTGCCACAACATCACGGCAAATACTCGATTGATCTCGAGGATCAGATAAATAGTTCGAAAATATCCAAAGTGCCGGGTGGAACAGTGATACCAAATCCAAAGCATCATGCAGCACGTGCAAATGATTTTGGGCCGAAAATGCCAGTGATACATGTACAGGATAATGTGCGACTACGTAAAAGTGGCTCTAGTCAAAATGCAATCGAAAGCAATAGAAATCCGTATGTTTATAATAGCAATCCGTACGGGAGCAACTGTCACTATCAGTCACAACAGCAATGGCAACGGTCGTCACCATCAACGGCCGCGCCAACAGCAACTACGTCAACCACATTGCATTTGCATCCAAAGAAGCAAAGCCTTCGCGATTTCTTGTCCACATGGAACGAAGATGAAGAAGAAGAAATCGATGTAACGGCCAAAAAAGCATCCATCGGACACGGTCACAGCCACGGCCACGGTCATGGTCACGGCCAACACAGTTCAAGAGAAGTGTTGCAATCAGCAAACAGCAAAGCCATGCATTTGGAGCGACCGAATAAAATCAATGAAAATGTGCCTGTGATCGTACAACCAATTCCCATCCACCATCCGATTCCACATGCTCCTCCAATGCATGCTAGTCATTTGCAACCGATCGGTCGTGTACCACCACCACTAATGCCACCAACTTATCCAGGTTTACCAATGCCGAATGCTCCGATTCATGTTGCGATCAGCGTTGATAATGGAAGCCAAAACTTGCCGGATATTATCATTGACATCGAGAAAACGAAACCGAATGGTGAAGGTGAATGCTTTGAACGGACAAATGGTGAGTGAACATTACTTAGTCTCTAAATGTTGTATTTACTATAGTTTTTATTGCAATTTTCCCCTAATTTGTAGTCATTCAAGAGGTTCCAAAATCATCGGAAAAACTGTACGTTCTCAATGAAATCGATATCCCCGAATCTGATCTCAGTAAATACCGACACCTTAGCGTTGTGAATAAAATTCCTGATAATTTTGTATTGCCACCGCCACCACCTTTGCGCCATGAAAATGGCGCACCAAATGTCAATGAACCGGTCAAATGTGTGGAAAAGGCTGATTCAGAGCATACGCAACAGGCCAAAGATGATTTTGAAACGAACGCTAATGTCAACGATGACGATGATGATCTGAAAGACATTGTGGAAACGAAAAACTTTTCGATTGTGCAAAATGTTCGAAAATTACTTAAGAAGTATCGTAAACGAGATCAAATACGCAATAAACAAAGAAATGCACCGAATGTCCAAGATAATTTACAGCCACCAAATGAGCATAACAGTGATTTATCAACACCATTGCTATCGCCGGCTCATGATTTCGAAATGGCATCGGCCGTTGATTTGTCCGTGCACAGCAAGGAAATTATCGATGATATTTCTGTAAATAGTAAGGAAATTAACGAATTTATTGATGATTTGTCATTGGGTAGTGATGTTGATAGTGGATCTGAGTATGATGCTTTGATTGCGAGTCCTTTAGCCGAAATATTACAACTAACTGAACCTCGACCATCGACGGCCAATGATAAAAGTGACAGTGATAGCGAAACAAGCAAAAACCAAATGGAAAGTCGAAATAATGGCTTAGTCGAAGCCAATGGTCTCAAAAACAAAGAAAATGACGAGGATGCAAAAACGATCGAAAATGTCCAAGATGTTGCAAGTGATGAAAACATTCCAAAAGACGAAAACACCGAAATGATTCAGAAAGACATTGAAGTAGTTGAAAAGGTGACAAGCCTCGAAATTGTGAAAGAAGACGAAGTCAAAGTAGTTGAAGAAAATGGAAATGCTGAAAGTATTGAAGATATTGAAATAGTTGAAAACATTGAAAAAGTCGAAAAAATCGAACGAACTGAAAATTTTGAAAAACCAAAGGAAGTTGAAGTCGTTGAAGAAGTGGAATTGGTTGAAATTGTCTGTGAAAAACTGGAAGGACCAAATGAATCGAAGGAAGAAGAGAAAATGGAAGAGGAACAAGAGGAACAACAGGAACTTATAGCAAAAGAGACTTCGATTGCTTTGGAAACTTCCATCGACACATTGAAAAATTTTTGTATCAAAAAATTCAACACCGAAGAATTTCGTAGTTATTATAAGGAAACTGTAATCAATTCAACAAAAGACGAAGAAATCGTAACCGATAATTCAAGTCCAACGGAAAGTATTGCAACATTCCATGATATTGAACAGCCCAACCATATGAAATGCAATGATGCAGATACAAGCGAAGTCATTATGATTGAGGATGAGGAAGAAGAACAGGAATTGCGTACCGAACAACCAGTAATAAAAGCGCTACCCATACGCATGGTACCCAGCCTTCGTAGTTTGGCAACACCAATTGTACGAATGCATCAATTTAATTTGTCATCAAATTTGAAGCCTCTAAAAATCGTTTTTGAAATGGAATCACAGCGAAAAGTGGCGGCTTTGGATGCTACAATCGATACTTGCACCAACAAAGTTCCAACACTGCAAGAGCTTGCACGTGAGGTAGCAAACACAATTTATTCATTTAATGTTAAACAACTTCAGGAATTATGTAGATTAGCCATAGAGAAGTTCAATACTGTTTATATAGAAGCCTCAAGGAATAGTATTATTTCCGAGCCTAATACACCAGGCAATATCGCCGATCCATTTACAGGTGAGTTCAAATGTGAATTTATTTATAAAAACTCGTTACATTTGTGCAAATATGCACATTTTACCATTTCAGTTGTGCCGGTTGAGAAAATAGCACGAATTGAAAAGCAATCAGTTATCCAGATAGTTCAATCAAATGGGATGCAATCACCTTATAATATGTCTGAAATTATGGATGATTCTTTGACGGACGAAACACCGGTGAAATCGTTGAAAATTTTGGCCCAAATTTGTGTTGATGAGCTAGAGAAATGTAATAAGAAGGAAATACAGGCCATAGGTTCTGCGAATGAAAACGACGACAGCATTTATATTTCAAGTGATTCCGAAACCGATGCATCGTCGACAAGAAGTTCACAACGGGGTGTCATTACTGGTGGCATTCGAAAGCCAAGTTATAGTGAAAGCGGATCCGGAACTGGATCCAGTAGCGAAAGTTCTAGTGATTCTAGTAGCAGTGATTCAGATGATAGTAATGATGATGATGATGACGACGACGACGACGATGACGATGAAGTGGAAGAAAATGGAAATGCAAAAGTAAAAGAGAAAGAAAACGAAAATAATAGCGCTGAATCAGTTAAAATAACAGAGCCACCGATAAATCCCGAAGAAAATAAAAAAAGGAAAATTGATGTGCAACAAATTGTCGATGAATGGTCCTCGGACACAGATATTTGTGAAGACAGTTCATTAAAAGTGAGAAAAAGGGTTGACGAAAATACGATTGAAAATGAAATCGACAGTTCGACCATCGTTAATGAAAATGCAGTGACCGTAGTGTACAATCCCAGTGCGTTGAAAGATATTTGCCGTGAAGTGCTTCAGGCTCAATCGATGATAATTCGATATGAGGTGCCATCGTTGCGATTTTTGTGTGAACATACGTTGGCCAGCAATGGAATGGAAATTCCGTTGATTTGTTTCGTTCAAGAGGAACCATACGAATATATGACCACGGACCAGCCGTCTAACGAGGATGAAGGTGTTTATTTGTGTTTAGACAGTGAATTCGATGAGACTGAACTGGCGAGTTTGTTTAGTGGTGGTGGAAATGGGCTTTATGAGTCTGTCGGAATCGAAGAAGTGGAAACGGATGAAAGTGCCAGTGATAAAACTAGCTTTATCGATCAATGTGTTGCCTTACAAAATATCCTATCGTCTCCACCGCCGGAGGATAATCAACCAAAGGCCCGCATTGAAATACTATCAGAGGAAACGGAATACTATATGGATCCAAATGGATTCCATGACAGTATTCAGTATGAGGAAACAGTTCTGCCTTCGGGAAACAATATCGAAGATCCGACCATAGCAATTACAAAGCTTAAAATATATCTCCAAAAGAAATATGTACATCCATTAAGCTATCATAAAATGTTTGTCATCAATAAGCTGCTACGAAAATATAAAGTGCATCATGTGTCGTTTTGCAATAAGAAATCAACTGTGCAGAAGAAATTGCATAAGAAAATTATGAAGTTGCGTCAAAAAGCCAAGCAACGTCGCAAGCCCAAAAAACTGGCCACACGACGTTCCGCTCGCATCGCCGGCAAAATCAAACAGCAAAATGAATTCGATTGGAAAGTGGAAAAGGAATCAACAAAATCGGCAAAACTCAATAAGAGCACAAAAGGTGAAAACAATTCTAAACCTGAGCCAACGGAAAGTAAACGTTTCAGCAAAATTAAGAACGTAAATGATTTGATTCAAAATTCTGGCAATAAGAAAATAATGGCCGAGTCTGATAAAGAAACAATAACGCGAGATATTCTTAAATTAATTGCGCAAAAACGTACATTGAAGCGAAAATTGTCGATTTGTCAACGGCCAAACTTTAGCCTCAACGATGACGGCTATTGTTATCATGAAGATGGGCAAATTAGTGAAATGTTGAGCTCGTTTATAAACAACAGTTTCGATGAACCAAGAGCAGATTCGTTGAATGTAAAAAAGTCCCGTTCGCAAAAACCATCCATCGAAACCCGAGCGATGAAAGAAGGCAAAAAGAAGAAAGTCTCACCAATTAAACTGAAAAAGCATATAATAACCGACGATAAGGGCAAGTTGAAAAAATCACATTCGAAAGAAAAAAATTCAAAGAAAGAGATGGCAACCGACAAATCACAAAAGAGTTCATTACCACCGACTGAAGCATATGCTATTAATAAGACTGAAAAGAAGAATACATCCCTTGGAAAGACTCTCGCATTTCCCACGAAAGCATCGGTTAAGGAAGTGATCCCCGCAAAACGAACGCGTTTCCTGTCAATTGACAGCTCATTAATGAGATACGGTGCAGAGTCAAAGAGATCGTACAACCACATGAAATCATTGAAACAAAATTCAGAGTCGCCAGAATTGCGCAGAGGAAAGGTGTCAGCACAGAAACCGTTGAAGACAACAACCGTGGATGCGGCTGCGACGAAAAAAATGGTTCAAAAATCAAAACGAATCAAAGAGAAAAACGGAACCGTTTCGGAAATTAAAAAACCTAGTGAATTGAAGCAATTGCCTAAAGCAGCACAAAAAGTCACACAATCTCAGAAAGCCCAAAATGCATGTGAAAAAGTTAAAGTTCCACTCAAACAAGCAATCAAAGAAAACAGTGAAATGAAAGAGTTGCTCATTTCGAAGCCAGTTGCAAAGGAATCACCTCCGATTGAGACAATTGAATTGTCTGAAAAATCTGCGGCAAAAGCGATAATTATCGAAGACGTCATTTTGAAAAGTGCCACTGACTTTAGTAATGCATGGAAACAATCATACTTTGCAAATAAATTACAACCAATGGGTCATGATGAATCAAAATCACAGGAAAATAATGTTGAACAAAATGACCTTAGCGATAAAGCCAATTCAACCGAAAACGATGAAGGCGTCCTGAACACAAACCCTCCGTTAAAACTGTCGATTAAAAAGCAAGATAAACCTTTGTCGGAACGAAGCCTATGCTCAACCATGGTATCACCACTCAAAATCATCATCGAACCAAAGCGAGACTTCTTACAAATGACGCATAAGGAGAGAATACTTGCGAAAGATCCGTTGGCAATTGGCCAATTTAATGACTCAAATTTAAATATTGTTGAATCTCCACCAGACGAACACGTTGTCGAAACGAAGGAAGTGCACAAAGCATCACGATTGTTAGAACGACTCAAAAGTCTGTCAGAAAAGCCATTGCCTAAGGATGTTAATCAGGTGGTGAATAGGTCAATTTCTCTTCAAAGTGAAGCAGAAGTCAAACCAAACGACAACAAGAAGGTAGAAGAAAAATTGCAACCCAAATCAGAGCCCATTTCGGTCAGAAATGAAATTGCGGACGTTATAGTTTCGCAAGAAAAACCAGTATCAGTAGCAACAACGGCGTCACACACATTGGATAATAGCACATTGTTCAAAATAACCGATACGGATGCTACAATTAAGCCATATTTAGATATAGAAATGCTGTTACCATCCACGCGAATTCCTCAACCAAAACCGGCTAAGCGATGTCTTAAACGTGCTCAAACCATATCTCACGCAGAGACACCATACCACCGAACCTTCGAACCAATGCAATTGCGTTCATCGAACTTTGCTTGGAATCAAAGGCAAATGGGCCTATCAAAGGAACCCACCAAAAATCAGTATCGTTCGAGTTTACCATACAAATCAATAGAAAATCCATTCACAATACCAAAGCGAAAACCGATACTGAAAACCGTGTCACCGCCCAGAACGACCTCTTCACCAAAAACCAACAACGGCTCAACTAATGCTCCGGTAACGCTTCAGCGAACACCAATCGATATGTCATCGTATCCTGATCCTGAATCATTGGAAATACCTTCAATTGATCTACGTTCTTCGGCACTGTGTAATTCGCCTCTTAGCTTACCATTGCCAATGTCAATACCGAAACCGGTGCTTAAGCCAGTAACCTTAACTACAATGCCAATAAGCAAACCAACGATTGTAAACACGGAAACAGTCAAAGGTAACAAATCCCCATTCGCCCGTACAAAGCTGTCCTTCAATATTTATAAAGATTTTTTGTTTTGTTCTACAGCATTTAGCCCAGAAATCGGCAATTTTGAGGTCAAGGGAACAATTTCTGAAAATAATTGCATGTCCGAACCTCGTCTAACCATTTCAGATCCACGTCTTGTTAACGATGCTGAACGAAAGTCACCTATCATACATGCCCATTTACCATCCAACGTGCCATCCATTGCGCCCGCCATTTCACCGGCTGTTGCGCCAAGGAGTCCGTCAATCAGTTTACCGCTCAACATACCGAAGAACATACCAATGAATATTCTATCAAGTGCGCTCACAAGTTTTCAATCAAATGAATCACCATCAAATGCATCACCGACAGTGTCTTCGGCGAACATAACACCAATGCATACCCCACCCCCAGCAAATAGAACACCGATTCATACACTTTCGGTTCACACACCGAATACCATAATTTTGCCACCAATGAATATGCCACCTCCAAACATGATTCCACTGAATATGCCACCGCCGAATATATTACCACCAAGCAGCATTCCAAAAGCAAATGTCCCAATGATGCCGCCTGAGATGAGCACTATTCCACTGGAACTGGATCGTGTTGTAACTCAACAGCGGAAGATACGCGAAATGCGACGCCGGAATAGTCTTTGCGTTGCTGAAATCAGTAACTATCAACGTAATATACTGAATAAATTCGCAAATAGCATCAAACAGAAGAAATTGAAGATAGAAGACATCGAAAAGATTATTTTCAACAAACCACCGTCGCCCAGCTCAAGTTCGGCCAGCAGTAGCAGTAGTGAGTCGGATAGTTCTGATTCTGATTCCAGTGAGTCGGATAGTAGCAGCAGTACAAGTTCGGGCAGTGTACGAAAGTCTCGACGACATCACAAAAAGAAGCGCTCACATAAACGCAACTCCAATTCCGATGACAGCAGCTCAGAATCGAGCAGTTCGTCCAGCTCATCGTCAGCATCATCGAGACATGGAGCAAAGCGGGCAAAGCATTATCGAAAATCGGTACCAAAAATAACAAAAACGCCATGCAATCGGAAAAGCTATGGAAAAGCTACACCCAAGCCAATCTTCGATATTGAGACGATCAAACAGAACGCTTTGATGGGTTGCGTTTTGCACGAAGAAATTATTCGCAATAAACTCAATCAAATGTCATCATATCCAAACATTTCGAGTCGTTCTCCATCCTACATTCAACAGAGCCCAAACACATCGGCTCTGCGATCTGTAGGTGACACAACACCAGATTCTGACCACACAGCAAAAGTTCCATTTGTAAAATTGCAACGGAACACTTTCATCGATAATTTGGCTGAAAACTTTGCACAAGAACAACATATCAACAATAATAACAATAAGAACAACAATTCGACCAGGTATAAGCGAAAACGCTCCGACTAAACAGTAGACCTGAGCCGTTTCAGTGTATTTATTTAGTATTGAGACGCAACATTTCGATACCAAAAATATGGAGTAGACATTTATTCTGAACTAGAAAATGCCATTTGAATATTAAAACGCAAAAATTGGGATGTTTTTTTGCAAGCGATTACAGAAAAAAACAACAGCAGTTTATTACAATCACATTCACATGCACGCATACGCATACGTATACGTTGCTTTAGTGTCGATATCGCATTCCATTCATCTGATTAATCCATTTGAAAGAAATCTAAATAAATTTCTCAATTCGTTTTTTTAAGTCATTTTTGAATGTGTGTATGATAATAAATTAAATAAATAATAAAGTAAAAAAAAGGCTATCATCGAAAAAAAATTCCATTTCCGACCGTGTTACATCGGTTCTAGAATCCAATAAATTATGAATGCAAACTAAATTTGAAGCAATTCATGCATGAATCACATGTAATCATCGATCATACATACACAGATACACACAACACGCACGCAAGGCACAAATTGATGGGAGGATTTGACTTTGCATGTGCTTTCATGTGTTAAACACAAGTACGCTTTTTCTTCAAATTTTGAGAATATACGGTTCAGGTTTAGCCCAAACAATTTATTGATTGCTTACGTTTTATGATCGAGTTAGAAATTAAAGTAATTGATAACGAACGAATGAAAGAAATGTGTCACCTGTGTAGTTCTATACCACTAACATAACATAAATATCCAAACTATAAAGCGATAAGTGTTTTTATGTAAATTGGCTTCAATCAAACTTGCCTTTAGCTTCAGCTTTTAAGGAGAAAAAACAGGTATTTATTCTTAATTTATAAATTTTTACTTCGAAATAGTTTTTATGAATGTGTTTTTATTTTGCAAGAAAATTGTTAAGAATAGATAGATAGAGAGTAGCAATAGATAGGGCGATATGAAAAAAAAACAGTAGGGTTATTTTGTATTTAAGTGCAATTTCTAAGGCAAAATATCACTAAATACGTAATAAGTTGACGCATTTCTTAAAAACGAAAAATAAAGTTTCTATGTTTGCTTTACATAAAATGAAATCAACAAACGTGTTTTCTCTTCACTAATAATGTGCATTAATCGAATGGCCCGGAACCGAGGATGTTTTTTTTATGTTTGTGTTCTCAAAGTACAAATTTTTAAATAGAGACTTTTCTAAAATCACCACATAAACAAAATCAGATGAATTCAAAAAAAAAACAATGTAAAAGGCCGTAATATTTTGTACATAAAAAATGGAATGAAACTAGAATTTAAATCCACGTTTTCAAATTGAAAAGACATAAATATAGGAAGCGTGAGAAGAAATTGAGTGCCTATTTGAATGTCATCATTTATTTAAAACGGTTTTTTTGAACTTGACTGTGTCCGTGTGCCCATCCAATTTATAATTGGAATGCTTGAATATTAAATAAAACAATTGAAGTTGAAATTGACGTTATCGATTCGATGTTTGAAATTGTGAGAAAGTTCATGGTTGTTGTTTTTCTCCTTGTCAACGGTTTCTTGTGATTTTTTTTTAAATAATTGTTCTACATCTTCAGGTCAAACTAACAGAAAAACCTGATGAAGATATAGCTGATTCAGTTTGTTTTGCAGAAAAAGAAAGGAAATGTCACTGGTGTATTTGTCGTTTAAGTAAATTTGACCAACAAACAATTTTCATACCAATGTTTCGAAAAATTTAATGTAAAATGTAAATAAATCAACAATTTTTTTGGAAGTTAATCAAAATGGCCCTCTTTTTTCATCTTCTATAAAATGGATAATTTTGTTTTATTTTCATTTCAATAAAAGCAAAAGTATAAATTTATTTTCGATACAATATGCAAAAAAATATCATCATAAAATTCCAAATAGTTGATTTGCTCAAACGCCAAGAGCAACGCTTGTTGCTGATATTGAGTTTGGATTGTTATTCGGAGAGCATGCCTGCCGAACTGACATTTCCCACGTGTCCAATACATGCGACAATGAATACAGCGATGGCATTTTCAACATCCGCGCGGAGAAAATCTTCTGAATGGATTCCAGAAATTGGGTGGCATTCATTTCATGCTCAAAGAGTGTACAACTGGGCGGAGCCGATGGATAATCCTCTGGAATGGATACATACAATGGTGGTATACACGGCAAGTATGGATCATCATGCAAGTAGCAAATCAATTTTAAAATTTTCGATCCACACTGAACCGATGAGTCGAATGTAATTTTAAACTTTCGATCGAGTCGAGCGATTTCTCCCTGCAACACGTGTGGTATTTCATTCGTTACATTATTGGAGCGACTGGTGTCGTTTGATGAAATACGTGCATACTTGTTCTGCGGTAAGTTTCTAAAGAGGAGTGGAAAAGAAAAGATTGAGAATCATCAAAATGTAAAACAAATCAATTTTAGATCTTTTACTTTATGTCCGGCCCAAAAAGAGACTCAATGCACGGCCGAAATGTTCTCTGTAACGTATGATTTCCGATGGGGCTTTGCAAGTTGGCACTCACAGAATCTAGGAGTGCATTATTAACGTTATGCTCCTTGGAACCGCTGGGAAAATTGGTCGTAGTTGATGCCATTGAATATGATTTCAAGTCCATCTTTTCCAGAGCCGCTTCACACTTGATGAGTGTTTCCAATGGAATACGCTGATTCGGATTGCACAGAATCTCCAACAATTTGTTCATTTTCAGTAACTTTTCATCATCGCTTCCCATACGCGCCATCATTTTCTTCAATGGCTCAATGTATTTAGTCAGTTGTCGATACTTTTCACGATACAAGTGCTCCTCTTGTGGATTCAATGGGCTTGGTGCAGCATTCGCCTGACCCGGTGTGTTTAAATTGGTGTTGCTTGGCGATGGTGCCATAACAGTCCTTTGTGACATGATATTGGTCACTTGTGGTGATGGAACCAACGGACTGGGTACCATTTGATTGGGCAAACTATTTCCCATTGGAGACGGCACCGATGGACTTGGGCTCTTTCTGAAGAACGATTGATTGGGGGTTGGGTTTCGAACTGAAAATAAAATAAACAACATTAGTATGATCGAATTATTGAACATCCATTTAGTTTGTTGCTATTGAGGTGGAGCCTAATGGAGCTCGGGATTATACCAATTCATTGCTACTTACTACTTTGAAATATAACATTGGCCGGTTGATTACGAGACATGTGTGGAATATTCATCATTTGATTCATGGGATTTAACTGACCAGCACCTTGCAACTGATTTGGCCCCCCACTGACATTCGGCAAACTAACATTCGGAACGTTCACATTTGGCAGACTTACGTTAGGTCCAGCAGACACATTCGGTGTATTGGAAACATTTTGAATATTCTGAATATTTGCAACGTTCGAAACATTTGGCTGGTTTATGTTTGCTTGCAAATTCGAATTTGACATCATTTGAGCATTCATTTGTGTCTAAGCAAATGGAAAACGAAGAAAATATTGAGGGAAAAAACGATTTTTGGAATAATAAAAACATTTGTTACCATTTGCGCTTGGTTCATTTGATTTCCGACATTCGGTGCGTTTTGCTGAACGATATTCTGCACGTTACTGATGCGATTCAGCATTTGAGACATCTGATTCGGATTGATCTGTTGGCCGGCATTCATTTGCTGATTCAAATTTGCTGCATTCATTTGATTTTGGGGAAGTCCCGAATTTATATTCATCGGCATGTTCATATTTACCATCGGATTCATCTGTCCACCCTGCATGTTCATTTGCATTTGATTCATTTGACCGACCATGTTATTTGTCATTTGATTTCCTGGATTTGGTCCACCAGGTTGACCTAGAACCTGGTTGCCACCTATAAAATGGGTAAAATGTAAGTATAAAATCGAATAGCCAACACATAAGTATGCACGATACATACCCATATTCATGTTCATGTTGTTGGCATTCATGGCATTTATAGCGTTGGGCATGGAATTAGCCATTGCATTGCCCATAGCGTTTGGTACAGCACCGCGAATATTAGGCATCGGTTGCATTTGTCCTTGTCCGCCTCGTTGCTAAAAAGGTTGCATATTTGAAATATGCTCAGGCTTTGTTTTCTTGATACTCAACTTACATTGATCAAATTATGCAGGACATTTGGATTTGTGTTAGCGTTGCCCATTCCCATTTGATTGCCCATTCCCATCATTTGTGCGGGCATTTGGTTGCGTGTTCCCTGATTCGTAAGGTTCTGTAGAGCATTAATAGGATCAACCATGGCTTCTGCTTGCTGTTTCTTGTTTTTCTGATCTAAAAAAGATAAAGGGAAATCCACAAAATGAAATACTCTAGCTGAGGATGGCCACAATATTCTACATACTCTGCATGTGTAAAACAATTTTCGCAACCATTGCTCTGTATTCTTCCTGTGTTTGAACCTTTTGAAACACTTGATTTTCCATTTCGCTTGCATTTCTTGGGATGCCAACATTTTGCAGTGCTTCATTTCTATGCGTGATAGAACAAAGAAAATTCAGTCAATTATAGTATATTAAGTATTTTTAACACACTATATTTCCAAAAAAATTTTCCATTTTTTCAATTGAATTACATTTTTTCCACAACACTTTGCCTATAGGCTGGCGAACGCCAATCATTCGATGAATTATCCATAGTGAAAGTATTTTTATTTTTACAAAACACAAGTGAAAACCGAAAGTTTGATTGTCTCCTGTTGATAGCAATGAAAATACAGACTTTTTTCGATTGGCTTCTATCAAACGTCAACAAATTAGTGACAGTCGTCGTGTGTATGGTACAATTCCACGAGAGGGCGCTGTTGCACGAAATTCAACCAGAGATTATAGCGGCCAATTTGAAAATCAAGCAGCATCTCAAGACGTTAGCAAGTTCAAGTTGTTGTTCATTTCATCATGTGAATTTCGTAATGAATTCGCAATCAGTTGCAATTGCCTGGAATTCTTTCCATTTACGTCATTTTATGAATTTCAAAAAAAAAAAACAACCAATTGTTCAATTTCAAATGTTTTTTTAAATTTTATTTCATTTGTTTATAAGAAAAATTTTGATAACATTATATCAAATTTATCACAGATACTTACTACACGAGAAATCTAATAATTACATGATTATAATACGGTTTTTTTTTGTTGTTGTTGTCGTAAAAATCTAAGCACTAATTATTTTATCAAGTACATAAACGTGAATAGGTTAGGTGAATCAATTTGCAAAACGAAAAAAAAAATTGGTCCTATACATGTGATCTAACTGCTATTCAATAGAATAATAATAATAAACGAAAACATGTTTGAGAATCAACAGAGTCATAAAATTTTCTATAGGAAAAAAGTATTTAGTATGATTTTTTTAGGCTTAATATCGATTAAGTTATAGTTAGAAAATGATTCATTTTTTTCATTTCTTCTTTTTTTGTTTCATCTAAAAATCTCGAGATGCAGATTAAAATGTGTCCTTAATTTGTGTAAAGTACGATTCAAGTCGCAGTTTGGGGAATGCCTTCTTTGTGATTCAACGGCGGTCTGTTTTCCATTATCATCTTCTCTCTCCTTCGTTTTATTGTAACAGAATCTTAACGGTTTGAATTTTCTGTGTGGTTGGCACAATTGGCCGGAGAGCGCCCGAATTGTTTTTCTTCGTATGTCGCTTTACATGCTTGCTGAGATGATCGCTTCGCATGAATGGTTTTGAGCACACGGGACATACGAATTTCTTCTCGCCAGTGTGAGTACGTTTATGGCGTGACAGTTCATCACTGCGACTGAACCGACGTTCGCAGTTTTCCCATTTGCAAATGAATGGCTTTTCACCGGTATGAATTCGTTGATGGGCTTTTAAATGACTGGATTTGAAATAATTTTTGCCACAATTTGGATAGTTACATTCGTACACTCGCCGACGTTCGGGCACTGGAGGTGTTGTAACTGGTTTTGCGGCTACGGTTTGTACTAAGTGGGTGGCAGCGACGATTTGTTGATTTGCAGGGTTTAAAATGATGAATCCTCCGTTTGATAGTAACTCACTCGGATTGGCAGCAATGTAAAAACCATGCGGTAATTTTGGGGCAATAGCCGGTAAATGGGTTGTTGTTCGGATTTGTGGTTGTACCGTTGCAGTTGGTGTGGTCATGCATTGCATTTGATTGGTTTTTTCCACGACTGGAACTTTCTTCTGTTTGTTCTTTGTTGACTTGAGTGCCTTTGCATCGGTGGTTTCCTCGCAATTCGAAACGGTGTTTTCAATATCTTTTTCGGAGAGTTTTCGTCCCATCTTATATTTCACGCTACGCAACAGATTTGTCTCATTTGGCGGATCGACACAGTACACTCCGGTCGATGTTGCACGCATAATAACACTGGGCCTTTGTTGTTGCAATTGAACTTGATGTGATATAGCGTTTGAGCCCAACGGCGATTCGATTTGCTTTGGAGAGAATGATGCAAATGTCGACGATGCATTCGATTCTGTGTCCGACTCCGATTGGGGCGGTGTATTCGTGACCGACAAATTGAATTGATCACGAGCGCACAACCGCTTGCGTGGTGGCAAGTCTGATTCATCTTCCGAGTCGGATGGATTCGGAGTGAACAAAAGCTTTGAAGATGATTGCGAGTTGAAAATTTCCAGGAAATTGCGTTTCAAATTGTTCACATCGTCATTCTACAGAAAGAAGGAAAAGAAAACAGAAGAACAAATTTTAGTACATAAAAAAAGAATCAACAATATTTTTTTTCCTCCATTGGAATTTAATTAAAATGATTGCTCGACTTTATACACACGACGAACTAAATATAGAACAAATTGATATTAGTTTAAGTATTACGTATCGCACAGTCAGCGCCCGTTATCACCAATTTGAATATATATATAAGCTACGGCGTAAATGACTTAATCTAGTCGGACGGGTTCTGTTTTCATTGCAACGTAAACAGAAATTTCGACTTGAATCGAAAGTACTTTAGCAATGAGTGATATTTTTTTCTGCGCTATTATTACACTCGGCTGGGAGTTAAATGTTCGATGATAGATTGCGTCAGGCGTCGGGACAATTTGAAAGGGGGAAATAGCCACTTTTGAAATGTCACAAGGCGTCTAATTCATGACGTCAGTCAAGCAGACATTGTTTGAGTAGGTGATTCTTCAAAAGCGTACAAAAACTTTCCATAAGCGGAGTGCAGTCGTTATCAATGAATTGTCGAATGTTTGCTACTCGCACCTTTTATCACTGTTTGAAAATAAAAACCTGAGTTTTTTTCGTCTATCGTTTGCTTCTTTTTCTTATTTTTTCTTTGTTTTATTTCTCGTTCATCATCGCCGTACTGATTACGAGTACGCAAAATCATTGAATTCTGAAATCGTCACCCATTCAGTGAGTGTAAATATCGACATCGACATCGAAGTTCGTAGTGAATGATGTAGACGCTGTATTTGAGTCCCGTGTCGATAAATACGTCATACAAACAACATCGCCCAAGCAAGAGGGCAAATTGTATAGAGACGAACGAAAAAAAACCACACTTTAAAAACAAAAATGACACAATCATGAACGAAAGAACAAAAGAGAGAGAAAAAAAATTCAAAACAACAACAAATATAAAGCGTATGCCCTGGCCTAATGAGACGAAATTTCATGTATCGCTCTAGCGCTATTCGTATTGTTGTACGTACGTCAACAACAACAACAACACTCAAGTCTCAGCGCTCGCTCATGTATACACACGCGCGACTCTGTTAATGTATCATACACTGAATGGGAGCGCGCACGCCAGCCAGCCATAAGCACGTCGACATAGCGATATGGAAAATCAGTAAAAATGTTTACAAAGTGTTCACGTGAACACCAGCTGATCGGCGAATGAACAGTGCGTGATACAAGCATGGGTCTAAAGTGCAAACAGAAGAAAGACGCGCAAGCGGTTGTTTTTGTTTGGAAAATTGCACGAGTCGCGCGCTGTGTGTGAGCGAACGAAGGAAAAAAAGTGTACGGAATGGTTTCTTCCGTCTACATTTTTTTTGCTTCTTTTCTGAATTTGTTGGAGACCTTTATTGTTATCTGCTGCGTTTTTTATGGATACGATGGACTTGTCTAGTCTCACTGTCACATTATTTACGGCATTCATCAAATCGATTGCAAGAACCCGGGCAATTTGTAATGAAAGCGCAATTTTAAAAGTGTTTTCTACGATGTATCCCTGTGTCGATTCAGGTCATTTCAGATCGCTCCACTTGCTTCAAGCATTACTCGGTGCTGATAGGATATAGGTATATACCCTTTGTCATCTAGGTCGTGCATTTCAAATTCGCAATTTTTTGGTCTATTTTTAGCCTACACTGGTATTTGAAGTTGATTGACTCACCTTGTTTAGTTCAAGTGGTGGAGTAGCTGGCGGTGATAATAAACTTAGTTCTTGCTCCATTTTGGGATTTATTTACGTATTTTTGTTTATTCCAATTTTTTTGCAAAACAAAAATCACACACGATTAGGAATTTTCTCCAATTTTTCTTGATTTTTATTTTCAATTGTTTGACAACTGTTTAAATTTCGCTTTCAAATTATTCTTGGGATAATTTGTAATGTCTTGAATTTTCACTCAATTTTTCGAATCAGAAATTCAAAAAATTAAAAACTTTGTTTTTACAGTTTAGTTTTGCTAAGCACAAACACTGTACATTCGTTCTGATCCTCCGCAGACGTTTGAATAATGCTTTACCTCTTCTGGTGCTAATACACGACACACTGAATTCCGCTTGCTGACTCAAAACAAAATAAAAATAAAAAAAGACGGCCACATACATGCATACACACAAAGCAAGCGATTTCGCTCTCCGTGTGTGATGACTGACAACTTTGCGCATAGTATACATGTCCCCCATTTAACACAGGGTGCTCCCCATGTTGATGTCATCATCGAACCCGTCTTTGAAATTCCAAAGGCACCGGCGACCGAGTTTTTCAAGTGCACGAGCAAGTAAGAGCCGTTTTCAACACGCGCCGTATGGTGTTGAGAGAGTAGTTTGTCTTTGGGCACACCCGATCACGGCCGGTAGTAGTGTGTGTACCAACTGTGAGGCTATGCAATATACATGTACAGCGATAGCTGCCTCTAAATTGTATATGGCATGGAAGTAGAATAGAGATAGACAGTGACTATTGTGCATGCCAAAAGCGACAACGAACAACGAAGAAAACAAGGAATTCGACGTAAAAACCAAGTCACGAAATCATCACTGGCACAAATCGTGCACAATGAATGCGTAAGCGAGCCAATGAAATACCGATGAAATACGGAGGCACGACGGTTGTTGCTATTTCTCTATGTGTATTCTCACTCGGTGTGTTATCGTGTTTGTATGGTGTGCGTGTTTTTTTCCCTTTTTCCCGCTCATAAGCCATTTAAAATGCGGTGCGCACTACATACAGAGGGTATCATGCAGTGACCTCATGAATTCACTTTTAGTAGCACGTGAACACAAGCTGCATGACTAGAGGCAAGTATGAATTGTATCAACAAAACAGAGACTCGCACAATTCGATTTTGACCGACACTTAAATAGCGCGAAAGCGAAACACTCGCCACCGCCGTAAACGTTGACAAAAACGAATCGCGTAAAATGCAAAATAACTGACTTCATGAAGGAAAAAAAACTTGAAACCAAATTAAATGCCACATTATTATTGAGCTACGATGATAGACAAGCGACTATCGGCTAATTCGTAGTTCGATATAATGGATTAAAATGTATTTATAGAACAAGTTAATGTTATCTCTGACGTAACCTTAGTAATCTTCCAGGAGGTGTGTGTGTGTTTTTTTTCATCGTTCGATGGATCCTGGATGCGGGCACTGGGATTTAGTTCCGACTTTTTGTTTGTTTGTTTGTTGAATGAATAAAAACTTAACTCATTATTGCTTTATCTGCGGCTCATTTTTCATGATAATCGTAATCAATATTCGGGTTGAACGCAAAAAAAGAAGAAATAAAATAAAATAACCGGCATTAGCTACACCCCGGTCGGCACGTTCAAACTAAACTCGAAATAGCTTTTTTTGCGTGTCGTTTTACATCGTACGAGTAGTTTACTCAGAGTAGACGAATCAGTTTTAATAATTGTTTACACACTTTATTTCCCTTCTCCCATCGACGACAGACTCTTTGTATAGTGTTATTATTATTTGCAAGTGTCGTCGCTTTTATCATCGAGTATGTGCTGTTTTCATACTTGAACGGATTTAATGCGACACCAATGAACCGCCTGCATATTAGACATACGCCGTTTCTGCTATCGTTTTGATAATAATTAAACATGTGGCCAGTGACTGATTTTTCGCCGAATGTAAACATTTGCCTACACACCTTCGCGCACGCTTCCTCTGCTCGGTGGACTTTGATTTTTCAGCCCAACTTGTTTGTTTTGTTGGTTTTTTTTTTCTTCTTCTTCTCAGCAATCATTTAAATTACGTTTCGTACGTTTTCATAAGTTCCTTCAACTTAAACGAAAATCGCTTGTCCGAATTGACCGACTGCATTGCAATGATTATTTCAATCGTCATTTTTATCAATCTAAGTTTTACGAAGTTACAACAAACAGCATATGAAGTGATGAAACTAACCGTCTTCGGTTGATTCATGGGTTCAACCAACTTTTTGCGTTCTAAATTTTTTTTATCCGAATGAAAAGAGACTTTGTACCCATCCAATTTTTCGAATAGTTTCGAATGTTCGAAGCAGAAATTTTGAAAATATTTTTGGCCGATGAAGTGGCCTAACTCAATCGCATATATTTGCATGTGCGAATAAAAATTCGTGGCCTCTTTTTCGAATACATCACCCATTTCTTCATACTTTTTTTTTATTTTCGTTTATTTTTAGATGACTCACAATAACCTTTAATGTGCTATCAATTGCATGCGGTGCGTGTTATGCGGCCTTTGCACAGAGCGCTTGAAAACAAATGATATTTTAACGAACGTCTTTTCAGATGCAGCCAAATACGCACAATAATGGAATTTATCATGATAAATTCTTCCCTTCAGATTATATGAGCGCATTCGTTATCGAAAAAAAAAGAATTTCAGACTGCAAAGAAAGTGTAATCGAGTCGATTATATATTTTTGTCAAAAAATGTTTTCATGGTCACATATTTATTTCTCATATTCACATTTATTTGAAGTGACATTGGTCACATTCAATTTTCATTTATTAATTTTTCACTCGAATCTCTTGAGCACTTTGAGTATTTTCAACCGTATAGAAAGTGAAAGTGTTCAATATTCCGTCCAGAAATTCTTCTGTTGTTCCCAAGAAAAAATGATGCAATTCAGATTAAATAGAAATTTAAATAAAATATGTCTCCAAATTGAGTTATTCGTTCACATTATCCACTCGCTTGTTCCATAGCATTTTTGAATTTCAATGCAATGGCAGTTTTTAACCGGAGCGTTCAAGAAATTTCCAACAGATGGTGTTACACCGGCGGCTGAACGTTAAGTAGAAAACAAAGGAAGGACTCTAAAAATGGAAAAGAATCATTTTTCATCAGTATTTACAGAATATTCAGAAAGTTAGTTTTTTTATATAAATTTTTGATGAATTGAACCATGAGTCGAACGTAAAAATGTACGAAGAATAAAATTTTCTTATGGAATTTGAAGCAGATGAAAAAACAATTCATTCACAATAGCATGAACCAGGCTATGAAACCAAGCGGTTGTCGTATTGTTTGTAGGCTTGAGATCAATTGTGAATGGATCGAGCGGACAGCGTGTGGCTTGAATTAACAGTGTATTTTGCCGACAGCACACATTTGCGCAACTCTCGTATTGTCACATTGGTGGCATATGTCAACAAAAGCCAAACGAACATGCATTCACTTCGCACATACACACAGACACACATACTCCGTTCGCACACATCCATCGTACATATGCCCGCCGTAATTCATTCGAGACGTGTAGCGACTGCTGGAGCAAAATGTTGGTCTGTCTACTGCCATATTCAAAACAACAGCCTCACACTGTACACAAAACATACGAAAGCCAAACGAGACGGTAGACGGTTAAATGCTTACAATAATTCCATTAGTCAGCAACGATAGTTGTAACAGGAAAGTCGTCCTGCTCCTACTCTGTCTCTCTGTGTATCGTTCATTCATTCAACTCACGTGTGACGTACAGATTCAAATTAAAAAAATTTGTTCATCAGTTGTAAATAAACCGGAATTACCCGGATAAATAAATTATGGAATTTATTTGAAAATTGAATTGGCGGAAATATTGAATTTAATTGGAGTTTTTGAAGAAGAAAAAAAGCAGAATTAATTTGGATATTTTTATTTGAAGAGAAAGAAGAAAAAAATACACATTTTATTTGAATTGTTCTCACAATTGGAAATTCTTACTTTGAAAATTGTTTGTTTTGGTGCTAAAAAAGTGTAAAAAAGAATTGAATTATACATATTTTTTCCAATTTTTTTGTTGTTGTTGTTTGTTGAAAACATTTTGGAAGTTTGTAATGAAATCCAACTGAAAATGAGATCGAGTGAACTGGATTGTAATCATTTTCTACACAAATGCTGTTTAGAGCTGTTACTAAACAATAATAGTGTGCGCGCGATAGTGAAAACGTGATTTAAATCGGAGTGTGCAATAGTAAAGTAGCGAGGCGAGAGAGAAAAAAAACCAGTTGCATGGAAAAAGCGATAAATTTATTGACACACAACTCAAAAATGCATATAATATTCCGTTCTCATATCTTTTAACGTCGTTCTAAAAATTCAAATAAGCCAATAGCACACTCACCAACGTGAATATGCACAATTGCACATGCATAAGAATTAACAGCAGCACTGATTTATTCAAGAATTAATGTTAACGTCAACTATTCAACCAACAAACGGTGAATGCAATTGTTGTTTTTTTGTTCTCGTTCAATTGCCGTTGTCATGAGCTGCAGAGACTCTGTTTGATGCTAAGATTTCCGAAGCGTGATTTGGTGCACTGATTTTAAAGTCAAGATAAATTAATCGTAATAAATATTTGTTATCATTGTTATTGAACGTCGCCTTCGATTTCAACTGCGAATCGCTAAACGCGAATGAAAACAAACATAAACACAATAAATCAGCTAAATGACCAAAGGTGGCAAGCTGTTTTTTCTCTCTAAATATTCACATTCGAGACATATTCATAGACTGGAATGTTGGCATTTCTATTGATTTGAAATTAAACGCGCGATAAAACCGCTAACTGCTAGAGCCCGAGAGCAGACTGAGAAGATAAACGACACGATCACATCCATGAAATGAACGACACACCACGACAGCATTTAACCGCATTTCAATTCTAAATTTAGATGAGTTTTTCTAGTGTACAGCATAATGTCCCGAAGGAAACAATCAAATCCAAAACCACTGCTAAAAAGTAAGTACATTCATTTTGTAATCGAATTCGTTGTGTGTGTGTGTGTGTTTCTTCTTCATTCGTCGAGAGATTAGTAGTAATAATAAGTCAAAATCGAAGTCATCAAAATTTCCATTTTAACACTTTAATTTCAATGACAGTATTTCGTGAATCAGAGAAACTGAAATACATACACTTTGGCTTTTTGATCTGTGTTTTTTTTTCTTCATCGTCGTCGTCGTTGTTTTTTTCTTCTTCTGTTCACTTACAATGAACACGTTATCGGGCACAAAATCTCTTCCATCTCTCTCTTAAAACTTTGAAAAACGAATTTACGAGAAAACGATGTCAGAGAGTCTGAAGTAACAACAACAACGAAAAAATACATTTGATATTGAACGCACCGAAGATCTTGATAAGGCATTTGATTTTGAAAATATGATTACGTATGCGACACAGAGTGTTCGAGTTGCATGTCATCCAGATACGAGAGCGAGTAAAATGTTGCCCGCTATGTCTGATCGCACTAAAGAGCACTCACAAAGTGTACAAAGAAATCCAAAACGATTTTAATGTTGATATGAATAATATCTGTAATAAATATTTGTGCATTGAGAGGATGCCAACAAAGATTTTTGAAGTAAAACTTCAAGCCAAATTCATCTTTTTTTCGCTCTCTCTCTCTCTCTCTCTCTCTCTCATTTTTCAACGATAAAAAGGAGCAACAACAACACTAGCCCGCAATGTAACAAGCTTTGAGAGCGAGAAAAGCAATATACAAAACGAAAGAGAGAAATAATCATTTTAATGTGTACAAGTTTGATTTGTTCATTGATACCGTGAGGTTTTTTTTCGCTGTTTCTGTTCGTTTACAAAGTCATATTGGGCCTACGAAACAACAACAAAAAAACGTGCATGTACACATAACGCGTAAATTTGTTCGCGCAATCCGATCCACGAATGATGAGTGTGTGTTTGTATAAGTATATGTGTGGCTAAGAAGCGAAACAGAAACAAAAAAAACCGTCCAAAAGCTAAATACGAATATATAGTCGAGGCAACAGTGTAAACGATAAAAAGAGAAGCATACACACATTTCTCGGTAAAATATCGCTCTGCGATCTGTGATTGATACAAAATGATAAGAAACAATAAATTTCAAAACGAAATAACAATGCGTTGTTATGTGCTATTATCTTATCAATAAAAAAACATCGCTGTCGAAACGAGGCATATACACACATACTTGCTCGCACGTTTGTTCGCTCGTTCATGTGCTGTGCATACAATGTGAGTTTTGGCCGAAATATGTACGGCTCCCTAGTACATGTACATGTACACACACACAAACACAAACACGAACACACGCAGCCAAGCACACACATACAAGCGAAGAGCGACCACAACAAAAACTATCTTGTTATCGTGACTACGATCTAAATGGAAATATGGCTAGGCTGGTCTGATGTTTCATGCCATAATACTTGTGTGTATCGCAAACGACAGCACAGCAATGACGACGACGATGAAGAAGAAGACGACGACGACAGCGGCGGCAAAGACGACGTTATATTAGTGATTTTATCAGGACGATGCAAAATAAAACACTTCGATAGTATCTGTGTACTCTTTTTGCCCCGAATCATGTTCAGAAAGCACTCACATACACACACACACACACACATCAAAAATTTTATCTATAGAAAATCAGTTAAAAGTTACGAAGAAGAAGAAGAAGACAAAAAAAATCGTACTGAATTTGAAGACAATGATCGAAACAGAAACACCGCAGTACGAGGTAAAATGTGTGGAAAAAGCACATTACGAAGAGGGCGAAAGCGAGACAGCTAGAACCACAAAAGTCATTTCCAAACGAATTCACATCGTCTAATCTGATCATTTATTTTGTCGCAAAAACGAACGAAAAATAAACGAGCACAAGCACACGGAGTATCTCAAACTTGAATATCTTCGGCTGATTTCATTCGGTCGGTGTCATTGTCACTCATTTCATATTCATTTTCGGTGGCTAGTAGAACTTTTTTTTGGCACTAACTTATCGCACCTTAATCAAATTCCGAAATGGCATTCGAAAATGAAATGAATTGAATTTCGATGTTGAGGCGAGATTAAGAGTATAAACATGCCGAGCGCACATGCTAATCATCATCTGCCGGAGACCATTTCGATGGCCACACAATGTTTTCGATTTTTACGATTTTTTCTTTTAGCAAATGGAATCATCATTATATGGATTCGTACAATTAATCTTCTGCGGCCTACTAAACCATGACTGGAAATGACTTTGACGCGTCAATTGAAATTCACACACACGCCGAAGACGAAAAAAAAAACGAAGACAGGAGACAGAATCGATGATAAACATTTATTAGCAGAAACAAATCTAAAAAAGAAATCAAAATGCCATATATTCCATATTTGAGTTCGAAAATCAAAGCTACTTTTGCGATTAGACAGCAGATAAGTGCACGAGAAAAAAAACGTAAACACGTAACCGTACCAACAAATAATAATACGAAAAACGTAATCGAAAATCAAAACTCACTTGACCCAACAGTACCGATAAAAAAAAGCACTTTGCGATTACGCGACTCTGTGGCAATGTGTGCTTGTCACATGCTTTTTCCTGCTGAAAACGAACAAGATCAAGATATCACCAACTTTAGTTTTATTCATAAGTTCTATTCTTATTTCCCAGCGACACAGCGGCTTGTTTTAGTGTGCTTTCTGCGTTGCACGAAACGAAGACGATTTCACACAATTACAATTTTCATGGCAGAAAAAAAAAACAAACAAACAAAAACCAAATCTAAACGAAGCCGGAACACGCATGCATGATATAGGATTTTACCACGCTTTTTAATGTTTATCAGCTGTTGATAAAAAACCATCTATTTCTAATCACATGTATGATTACAAAACGCGCTGCTTTATTCGATTCGAATTCAAAAAGCGGAAAATGAACTAAAAAGTGAGTGCCACTCGATATGTAGAAATGAAGACGATGCCAGAAATTATGATTTATTATAGACAATGAATGTGTCAAAAACTGGTTCCGATTGATTGATATCGTTCAAGTTTTTAATTGAGGACTTATATTGATAACAGAAATTGAATCACACAGTGTTGATCAAATTGTTACGAATTCGTATTCAAGTTTGAGCAGTATATCCGTTTCCCTTTCCTCTCTCATTTTTTGCTCAAAATGAGCCCAATTTGAATTCCCGCTGTTTGTCACATTCAATAGCCAGAAGCCAATTGGCTTAGATTTACTTTCCAATTGTGATAAAATGTTTGAAAATAAACTTTTGATTGACAGATTCAATCGACTCTGGGTTATCGCTTCTGTTAGGCAAACAAAATACATCCTAAATGAAAAAAAAGTAAGATTTACTTAAGATATTGTTTATATCAAATTGTATTCGTCGGCTACGCCATAAAAAGCCCGTTTGTCTACACTGGATTTAGTCGTAAAAGAACCGCTCATCATCAAAAGCATTAAATTGAATGATTTTTGCTCGTTAAATTTTGTTTTCAACTAAAGTGCTCCTCCTACCGGCAACAGTCTATCAAATCTCGGCTTGATTATGAATTTCTCTGATTTCAGGAGTTCAATTTCCAATTTGTTGTTTATTTCACTTCTTTGTTTTGAAAGAAATCAAAAAAAAATAATGACCGATTTCTTGCTGCTCCCATGAGAGACAAAAGAAACACACGAAAAAGTGCAATTTACGTCGTATAATAAAGTTATAAAAGCAATGGAATATTGAGTTAGTTTAATTAACTCGGGCGGATAGAGTAGAATGAATGAAAGTGATCAATTTTCTTTGCACTGATAAAATATGTACACAAGTTGATGACTGCAGTAGAGAGATCATAAAGTGCATGCGGAATGATGATTATTATTAGAAGAATACGGCAAATAGAATGACTGAGCTGATATCGAATCGAATGTCAAGAACCTACAGTGAGTACGCGACTAAGTTCTTCCGACTGTTTGATAATTTCGATTGTGGATCAGTTTAAAAATGTCATGATGAATGTATAATCAATTTTTTTTACTCGCGCTCCCTTACTCTCGACGTTCCGATTGTTGTTTCGATTTTTGTTCTCCATTTCAATTCTGTGCGCTTCGTTTCTGTTCTGTTCTGTTGGACGTTATCGCAATTTGTTGTTATTTTCGCCCGTTTCAAAATCAGCGAATCTAACCAAAGTTAGACTTTGTAATCGGCGACTCATCATTTTGTTCGTTGAACATTCTCATATCGCTTCCCTTTCATTCTCGCTTGGACGGCTTGTGTTCTTTCGTCGGAAACTATAATTTGTCGTTTTTTTGTAATTCTCTTTTTTCTCGTCGTATAAGGAAAGAGCGTACTGGTTGCAGTACAAGAGTAAAAGCGAATACTTGGAATCTTCACGAAAAAAACACAAACATTCGACCTTTTTTGTGAATGTCGACTAAAAGACGCGACCGTTTTCGCTTTTACAGATTAAGATTTATCAAACATTCGACAAAAATAACGCGATAAGATGATCTATGTCTGAACGACTGAAAAGACTCAGTGCTCCATTGCCTATCTACCAGCATGGTGCTATATATTCCTTTTATTATGTTGTTATCCCTCTCTGTGGCTGGCTCATTGCCTCATTTGCATGATTCGTCTCAACTTCAATCATAATAATCATCGATGCTATGAAAAACAATTGTATGCTTTTTGTCCTCGGACAAAATGTGTTTGTGTCGCTTTTTTTTTTCGAAATTCGGTTGAAGTTTTTGAAATTGATGTCAATCGTTGAAGAAAACGTTTTTAATGCTTTTCGATGTTATCAATAAATTCAGTTGCTATCTCCGAAGTGATAACTGCCATTTGTGGCGGATGAATGGTTCGAAGGCGCTGGCGCGACATCAAATCGCTTGAGCCTCAATATAAGATAAATGTTGTCGCTAGTTTTACAATTATTATTACACAAATTACTTCTTCCATACACTTAACTTGATT